CAGACATACTACAATGATGGTAGTGGTTAACTACATCCATGCAATGAGACATCACTGCAATGGTGGTAGTGGCTAACTAGATCCATGCAATGACAGACATATCACTGCAATGGTGGTAGTGGCCAACTAGATCTATGCAATGACAGACATATCACTGCAATGGTGGTAGTGGCTAACTAGATCCATGCAATGACAGACATATCACTGCAATGGTGGGAGTGGCTAAGTAGATCCATGCAATGACAGACACATCACTGCAATGGTGATAGTGGACAACTAGATCCATGCAATGACAGGCATCACAGCAATGGTGGTAGTGGCCAACTAGATCCATGCAATGACAGACACATCACTGCAATGGTGGTGGTAGCCAACTAGAACCAACCAATGACAGACATCACTGCAATGGTGGTGGTAGCCAACCAGAACCAACCAATGACAGACACATTATGGTCATCCTCATCAGCATTCATACAGAGATATGTGACAGATATAATACACTTACCACCTGCCCTTCATTTCTATTTTTGCGATCATTATCACGAGTGGCAGCAACATGTAGGATACAATCTTGAATTTTGAATCCATCCAACTGTGAAATGGCATTAACAGTTCCTTTCATACTATCATAAGTAACAAATCTGAAACCATCAACAGGTTTTCACATTAGAACACATGACATGACTGTCTGTTTTAAATGAAGCTCACATAAGAGCGCATATCTCATCATACATATTAACCAAATGAGAATGAAATCATTCAGAAAGTGTGCCAGATTAACAGCTCCATCCACAAAATCCTGGGATCTAGTTCCACTAAAGCCTTGACTTTGGTTTCTGCTACAACAGATGCGAGACATTTTGAATCAGAACTTGTGTATGTTAATAAGGTTGGAATCATGTATAGCTTGTGATTAAAGATATCGCGTCAGATTACCATTATTTAAAATCAGACAGCTATCAATAAGCTATTTTTTATTCAGTTTGGAAAACAAGATGATGTGCAGCAATGTTGAATGTTTGAATCAACGCTATTTATGCACGACCGAGATCTGGGTCCATGAATGCTTGTATTTGATGGATTTTCAGCACTGAAAGCTATCGTTACGCTACTGTATTGAATCGTAAAACAAATGCATCTGCATGTGTGACATGATATGAAATTTGAACAAGATTACTCAAGCAATATCAGAATCTGTAACACCATTCTTGATAACAATGTATGCAAACATGTATGTATGTACACACACACACACACACACACACACACACACATAGATGGACGGATGGATGAATTTCATTTTACATGCATTAATAATATAATCCACATGATCTTACCCAAATGTATCACCTCGATCCTGAAATTTAGAATTCATTATCTTCACGTCTATCACATTGCCTGCCCTATTAAATAAATTGGCCAATCCACGCTGTGAAACAAACATTACTATGATTAGATACCAAGTTTTACACAGACTTTGATGCTGTACCGGTAGTCGTGCATACTTTCAGTAAATGGGTTTTTCCTCATCCTAAAATATCACAATAGGGTGTGTATTGCAATCATTCATTCCACCATCTGGTGAGATGAACACGAGCTGGATCAGGAAGTCTACCGCAATGTGTACACAACTCTGTGCTCGTCGCAGTGTCTCGCGCCTTTATAAAACAACAGTGTGTATCACGCTCATTCATCGTACTGTCTGGCTACCCGTTCCAGTTTGATTAGGAAGTCTACCAATTAATTTTCCATTATTTTAGGATATAATGATATGCAAAAAATCTCTTTAAATAGTTAATACTTTCCATGGAAAAATCACTTTCCTCTTGTTGTTTCAACCTGAGTACATCGCCTCGCTATTTATTTATAAATACGCCAAAAGAAAATATTCACGTTCATCTCGTCGCCGAGCAGCCTATGATGTTTCTTTCAAGTTGAAAGTTATTTCTACTGTCATCAAGTGGGGAAATAAAAGGAAAATGGCCGACCAGTATGGTCTGAATGAAAGACAAGTTCGAGACTGGGTCAAGCAGAAAGACAAACTTGCCATCCGTTCTAAATCATCAAAACACCTCGCTGGGAGAGGCCGCTCAGTTGCTGACATCGAACACGACAACAGCCTCATGCAGTGGTTTGAAAATTAACGGCAAAATGGGAATGGTATAACCGGTACAATTACAACGTCAAGCACGCAGAGTTTCTGAGTTACGTTGTTTCAAGCGTCGCCATGCGTTGCCACCAGACTATGAAGAGAAAATCATGCTCTTTCGTGGTTACGTCATTTGACTTAGACATAAAAATAATAACCCTGTCACATTTTGGTGGCAGTAGTTCTGGTGCTAAGTTAAATAGCACCTGGTGGAGCAGTAATGAAATTTGATTGGCTGAGCAAATGGCCACCTGGGCTCGTACATCAAGGCAGGAAAGACAGACTTTTGGCTAGTCACTTGCCAGGGGACCAGCGACGAGTGAGCACACTAAATATCATGTGCGGAAGGTAGTGGTTTGCCATCATAGCCATGCGTTGCAGGCAGTTATCAAGTCATGAACTGAAGCCTGTGCAAGTCGTGTGAAACGCATTGTGTTGTAACTGACAAGTGAGTAATGTAAATTTGATGACTTTTAAAAGGTGGTGTTCAATTGTAGGTATTAACCGGTTTGTTCACTGAAGCTTTGCAGTCAGGTAGTTTGATTATTGTAAGTCATTTTGTATACTACGCTTATGCAGGTATTTTTGCTGTGAATTTTATTTTTCATTATCGCCTTTAGACAACCTAGCTGAGGTGTGGTGGTCGGCGCGCTGAGTGGTCGTAACTTCGTAGTGTCAAGTTTCTGCAGGATTTACTGGGGCACGCTGTAGACGCCAGGGCTCAGATTGGAACTTGCTGTCGGGTCTACGTTTCTCTAGGTCAACTACTGTATGGCGAATGTACGCACGTGACGAGCGGATATCTGCAGTTGATATTAGCAAGGTCAATACAGGAAATGTTGGAGAGAGAGAGAGAGAGACAGCTGTTTACGTCGCACTAGTCGTCGCTAACTGTGTGGGACCACGCACATTGACCGTCCAGTGTTGAGCCGTATGTGGTGGTGTATAGCGTTTCTGTGTAATTTTATTGTAACTTGTATTTATGTATCTGTAAAATAACTCATGATTAGTTGTTGGTTACGGTAGCGTGGCCAGCCGGGTATTTATTGAATTCGTACATATTAATTTGGTTTGCAATGTGGGAAGAACTTAGTACTGATAATTAATGTGAAGTTCTTTGGGCAATAATTTCTAAAGCCAGACTGCTGTAGAGTGTGAGAGTACAATTGTATTTAAATGAACAATATGCATATTGAATCCATAATTCAGAAATATAACCATTATGTATGTTAATTTTGTTTTCTTGCTTTATGTATATAAATATGATATAATGTACCACGGTGTGCTTATTGTGTGCGAGTGCTCGCACGTGACTTTCGTGTATGAACAATAATAGTACCACCCCGAACCTGTGACAAACCCACTTTCTGACATATACAATATGGATGAAACGCCACTCCGTTTCGACATGCCAGGTAACCGGACACTGGAGCACGAAGGTGCTAAGACTGTGCACATTAAGACAACCGGCAACGAGAAAAAGAGATTCACGGTTGTTTTGACTGCCGCAGCCGTTCGATGGAACAAAATTAAAGTCGGTAATCATCTTCAAAGGAAAGCGTGACCAGTCGCATTTATCCAAGTCAAGTGTGCAAGTTCGAGTACACCCTAAAGGTTACATTGATGAACCAGGTAAATAGTCATTTCAAGAAAACGCTAAATTTATTTCATCTTGTGTTTTGCTACCGTTTTGAGTGTGCCATATTTTATTCTAACCACATTGCAAGTGTTTTCTCAATGTTTGTCTCGTGGGGCGTCTTTGAACCGACTATGAACATTAATCAGAGTATCTATGTCGTTGCATATGCATACATGTGTGAGAGATTTTACCGGCATTCCATGACGATATATTTTTTAGGTTGCCGAGTTTTCCGCGTCAAGATGATGATAGTAGAAGGCTATTGGTTTGGGACTCATGTTCTGTTCATTTGACAGCCAAAGTAAAGGCCGCACTCGCTGAGAAAAACATAGACGTTGCGATGATTCCAGGAGGATTGACCGCAATTCTGAAACCACTTGACATTGGAGTGAATAAGCCAGTGAAGACAGCAATGCACGATTTGTGGGATGTCTGGATGAAGGAGGGTCTTGCAGAGTTCAGCTCATCTGGAAAAAGGAAATGTCCAACTAGAGATTTGGTTGTGGACTGGGTTGACAAATCCTGGAAAGGTTTGTCGGAAGACACAGTCCGGCGATCATTTTTGAAACCGGGCATCTCCAACAACATGGATGAAACTCAAGACGACCATATTTACGATGACCTTGAGACTGATGATGAGGACATCGACATGGACGCCATTGGCAATGACATTGCTAATATATTTGACAGCGACAGCGAAGACAATGATGACAAAAGAACATGCCCACAATGATGTCCCGCAGATCGAGAACCTGTATCACTGTATTTTAGTCGCAACATGGATACTTTTCATGACTAAACACACAAACAAAACGACCCTTTTCAGGGCCACCACATCCTCCAAAGAGAGATATGTCGTATACCATATTATTATTCTGTGTTTTTTATGTTTGTAATCTCATGTTTTGTTTGGGTGGAATCTTCTGTGAAGTTGCATGTGTAATGAACACCAAAAAATCGTGATAAAACACCCCCAAAATCTGAGCATCCATATTTCTTATTTACCATATGGCCCTATTAACTTTGAGGTTTGAAACTAATTATTGAAGTTGCAACACTGTAATAGAAACCGCGGTTAGTAATAGGATTTTAACGGTAGTTGCTTTCCTTCCACCAAATTTAATTCAGCTAATCTGAGAGGCTATTATCGCAATATTATCCAGTCAAACTTGATACAAACAAGGAAACAGAAAAAAAAATTGAGTGAATGGAAATGCTCAACCTACCTTGTCCAGCTCCTTTGGTATTCCAGTGACATATACCTGGTGTTCATTTCGACTTCTTCCTCTGTAGTCTTCGGAAGAATTCAATACTCTTATAATGAAAAAATAAACAAATACAACACTTTTTTTTATAATTTTATATTTTTTCTCACCAAAACTTTGTGCAACACTTTGTCCATTTTGATCGCTCAGTACCAAATGAACATAATTTTTTATTGTCTACATTTCTTTATCAAAATTTTGAAAAGAATTTGTAATATTTGCCTAGTAAACATTCTAATCTATCAAATGAACTGCTTTTAGTTAAATATATCATCAGCATGGAACCCACATTGTATATGCACATAGTGCAATAGTTTACTATTCAACTTGCATCAGGCAGGTAGAGAGTGCAATCCCCTCAGCCAACTGTTCACTTAGTATAAGCTATTCTGCTACCAAACAAACACAGGCTTGGTCCAGATCCAGAACCAGTTAAAACTGGAAGCTGGAGTGGGGCTTACACTTACTCTGAAAGGGTACCAGAACCAGTTAAAACTGAAAGCTGGAGTGGGGCTTACACTTTAATACTCTGAAAGGGTACCAGAACCAGTTAACACTGGAGTGGGGGTTGCACTTAGTTTGAAGGGTTACCAGAACCAGTTAAAACTGAAAGCTGGAATGGGGCCTTACACTTACTCTGAAGGGGTACCAGAACCAGTTAAAACTGAAAGCTGGAGTGGGGCCCTACACTTACTCTGAAGGGGTACCAGAACCAGTTAAAACTGAAAGCTGGAGTGGGGCCTTACACTTACTCTGAAGGGTTACCAGAACCAGTTAAAACTGAAAACTGGAATGGGGCCTTACACTTACTCTGAAGGGGTACCAGAACCAGTTAAAACTGGAAGCTGGAGTGGGGCTTACACTTACTCTGAAGGGGTACCAGAACCAGTTAAATTGGCACCTGGTCCTTTGTTATAACTATTGAATGATGGAGACATGTAATCTTCTTTCATTGGATCCCAATCAGATAGTGTACTTGCATCACCACCGCCACTACAACACAATGAGAAACAAATAATTGACAATTGAAAACAAAAACAAATTCCCATAACACTCAATGTATGCACTAAGATTGAACAAAATCTGTCCATGTCAGGACTGAAAATATTGCAGAAATGATTTTGATGAGTTTTATAACATTAAAATGGCCGCCATTCAGCCATCTTAAACTAGATCATCAAACAAATACATGTGCAATATGATGTATATATAAAAGTTTTAATATGATTTGTCAAGGATGTCAGAAATATAGCTCAAGAACAGCTTCGTTAAAATATAAATAAGCCATTTTGAATCTAAACTAAAAAACCATGACGTGCATCAAGATCCCACAATGTCTGTTGTTAGTCCAAAGCTTGAAGGACATCTGTTTATACACAACCAACTTACGGTTCTAGAATAAAATGGCCACCATTCAGCCATCTTTAATTTGATTGTGAAACAAATGACCGCGAGTATGTATCCCATGATGCATGTTTGTGTGGAGTTTGAATCGGCCCTGACATGTCTGAGATACACGTGTAGACGCACACATCACATGAATGTCAACAAGGCCCTTTTTTGGACTGCATCTAAACTGGGACTAATAACTATAGCCTTGGGCATAAGGATATATTGGAAAAAAACTGAGACACTACATATGTATTGTTCATCATTCTTTCCAGACACAGTCTGCTACAAATTGTATCAAGATGTAGTGATTTTTGTGGTGGACTCCCTCCATGCAACCGTCGGTCATATTGAATTGGATTAGATAACCCCATTTTTATCTACATCATCTGTATTTCATCAGATCATCATGTGGACATGCACCTTTATGCACAAGTATTGGTGTTGTGCCTAACAATATGTTGAGAGAATAAATGGATGAATGAACAAACAAACAAACAAAAATAACATTATAAATTCCTTACCCTGAAGATGGTGAATTGTATCCCAACCGTGGTTTCATTTGTGGTACATAGGGCATTCTGTCTATTAGCTTTGATTCTGCTGATGTTTCTGAGCTAAGTCTGATTTAAAAAAAAAAAAAAAAAAAAAAAAAGATTATCATATTTCCAATACATTTCTGCTTCAAATATTACAGAGAAATGAATGGCAAGTCTGATAAGCATGTGGCTTTTAATACTAATAAACAATTCATAGCTATATAGCAGTCCTAGAAATATTGGATCGCAGACATCAATTTGATCAATGTAATTACAAGTTTCAACAAATGTTTTTAACTAGAAGAATTTGAATGAGAACATTGTAGTAGATTTCTGTTAGCTAAAATCAAAAATTATTTTTCACTCACACAGGATTCAAAGGGTTTGAATTAACTGTTATACTTTGCCATACAGCCGGGGTGTCAATAAGACTTCTTAAAATAGGTGGGCTATCAGGAATAGTAAAGAATTCACAGCAATTATCCATGCAAATTGTGTTTCTTTCTGTGAAATAATACACAATCTGTCATTACACCAAGAAGCAAGGCACTTATAACCGGGGTACAGAAGAAGTGTGCATTCAGACCAGTATACCAAATTGATTATACATTGTGAAGTTTGCTGCCTACACCTTGCAAAATTCCAACTGTTAAATTACAAAATATGAATGCCAATATTAAATTTTTATTTATAAATTTGTACATCAGTGTTGAAAGCAGTCTTGAATATTGAAAAGATTAAACCAATGTTGTTTGTACTAATTGGAACAAATCTTGTGTGCAGACAAAATTTCCAGTTTTCTTAATTCACAGTTTTGTACCAGTTTCCAGAAACAAAACTTTCAATCTGAGCACTGCCATTCCAAGATTAAATAAAATTTTTAATGATTCTTACATTTTTACATTGATGTAAAATGAACACTTAATTATCAAAAAAATGAACATTTTCAATAACAGGAACAAAACAATTGAAACAAGAACTAACAAAGCAGTCATTAACTTAGCTGGCAATATTGCAGTTTTGTTTGGCAGTAACATTTGCAACAGTGAATCTGACTCGTCAATATCCTGTTATCAGATAAAAACCTCTAGCATACACACTTACAAATAGACTTATCGGACGAGGCTTGTGGAAAGAGGGATGAATGGATCAGTGTAGGAAATTTGTCCAGATTACATACCAGACATCAGGGCTGGTAACTTTCAAAAGTTACAAGCCCTGCTAAAATGTTACCAGTCCCGCACATTTTTTCAATTATTTTCGCACACACACACACAAATAAACACAAG